CAAACAGGCAGGCACGCGGGCAGGAAGCCAGGCAGTAAGCCAGGCAGGCAGGCACACACAATGTCACAGTGTCTTGCATGTGTCACCTCCTTGTGAGGATGTCGGCTGGGAATCCTGGAAGCTCGAAGTAGAACCAAGCCGGTTCAGGAATCCCACTACCAATCATTACCAATCACAAGCCCGTCACTTTAGGCAGGCAAAATTCAATCCATGAACTTCTCGAACCGTGAGGAAAGTGCACAAGAATCATAAGAATGGAAAGCACTCTCCGTACTGCCATGTCACTTGCTTGGCTCTTCAGCCATGGCGCCCATGCATCTCAACGGTTAGATTGGTAAAATCACCGCTTACCCACGCTTACTTTGATTCAGCCATCCTTTTCCAAATGGTGTCCGCAAAAGCTTCTGCCTACATGACAAGAAAAGTCATTGGTGGCTGTGTGTTCCCGAATTTGCAACTGACAGACAACAAGTCTTAACTGCTGTGGAATGCGACATGCCGAAGTTCGCAAGAGTAACAAGCACTTGGCTCCCTGGAACTTTCTACAGCTGCATGCATAGTGGCATCGATGTGCAAAGGCAATTTCTTCTGCGAAGCTGTCGGCTTTGTGGGGCTCGAATCGTCGAGGCCTGGACGGACGCAGTGGTAATCGGAAGGGAGCGAGTCGCTTCAGTCTTGGCAGTCATTTGATGTTATCGGTCCGCCAGCTAATGACATGCAGAATCCCGCAAAGCACCAACACATGAAACTTGCGATCTCCGTAATACAGCAACAAGCAGTTCAAACGTCCAATCCGCACAACAAACACAAAGATCACAAAGGGATGGCTGGCAGTGGCCTGCCTGGAGAGTTCACATCGCTCCGGTGGGCTTCATCCACATCACCCGTGCCAACGTTCCCCATTGCATGTCCTGCTGCGCTGCACACGGCAGAAAGAAAATCGATTACGATTCTCGATTCTCAACCCACCATATGCACTCGCCTGCCATCACAGCAGCAGCCGCCGAGGTAGTGTCCTGTCATGAACAGCAATGGTGCTGTGCCATGAGCCCGGCATGGTCCGACTGTCCTCACGCCGCTGAGAGGATGTCGAGACCTGCTTCGCCAACCAGGGCCTACGAAGAAGGCGAAAAAATTTGTTCAAGTGCGAGAGCTCAGCTCACTCTCCGTAGAGTATTTGGGATGACACAAGCCAAGATCGCTGCTTGAAGTTTACTCCTCGGATGAAACGAGAGTACAGGTTCTGACCTTGGCAGAACCGTGAGGCACACACATCTTCTGCCACCTTTGCATCACCGATCTGCACTTTGCTTCGCCCCATTCGCCGCGCTGAAGCCAAGCGGCAATCGTTCCGTGAGATTTGCGAGAAGGGGCCTCTGGAGCTATGGGCTGCGCTTCATGAACGTGGGGCAATTAACCCATCGTGGACCACTCACGAAGTATAAGGGACACACCGACCGGCTGCAGTGAAGCAAGGAAGGAGCTCGAGTCGAACGTGACACCTGCACACTCTCACTTTTCCCCTGGTGCCTCTCTCATGTCACGTTCCTGAAGCTTCTGATGAAAACATCTTGCATGAGTTCTTGGCCATTCGGTGCTGTTTGAGACCGACACTCCGTTGGTGAGACCACAGCTGCTCACTGTCGACCACCCGAGCCCTTTTTGACTTTGGATGCCAACCGTGCATTCCAGCAACGCGTCATCAAAAGCAATGCTCAACGCAAGTGACAAGATCACGGCACGTGTTGCGTTTGAGGTTCCGGATGCCTTCCGCACTTGTCAAAGCTTGAAGGTGGGGTAGAAACCTGAGCGCGACGCAAAAAACGGCAAACAGCTTTCCAAAGACGATTATTAAAAAAAAAAATATAAAAAAAAAAAAAAAAAAAAAAAAAAAAAAAAAAAAAAAAAAAAAAAAAAAAAAAAGTGGCGCAGGGTGCCCTGCGGACGAAGAAATGCCAGCGTTAGCTCCTTATCAGAAATCTCCCATGCAAAACAAAAACCAGCAACAAGCAAACTGCAGAAACATGTCTGAGCAATGCCATTACGATGACCGTGCAGCAATATTGTCTCGTCTATGCCCCTGGCGTAAAAATAACCTGCCATGCGTCCCACTTTGACATGGTGGACAGAAAATGTGCGGAAATGCGCGGCGGAAGCACGCAGCACGGTGCCATCCCGATCCAGGCAGTCAGGCGCCTGCGCGGGGCAACAAATTCACCAAGTGCATCCTCCTCATCCTGTGATTGGACCGTTGCCTTGATGAGTTGCAGGAGTTCTGCGTCTGCATCCAGGACCCTGCGCGCCCATGGCGTTGAAAATGTAACCCAATTTGTTCAGGTTCAACCGCAGTGGGTTTTGTCGATTTCCGCACATGATTGGGGAGGACGGCATCCGCGCAATCAAAATCCACTGTCATATGGTACTTGCAAGGTCGCGCCCCAAGCCGGTCTGGGACGACTCCGACTGTGCATACCCACGACCTGCCAGAACATGCCAGGAACAATTGATATCGGTGCTGTGGGGGTAAACACAATCATCCTGAGCGCCCCCACTCCCAAGGACTCGGCGAGCTCGCTGCAGCCTGTCCTGGCAGCCAACATCTACGCAAAGCATCAAAGCGTCCCTAGCAAGGTGGGCCTAGCATATGCATGTACACACAAAAGCTAAAGACGCAACTGCTCCAGCCAACACCGGGAAAAGCCAAGAAACTGCATGAAGACCTTTTCGACCCACCTGTATGCAAATCAGCCAAAACAACGTCATACGCCCTGCAGAAAAGAAATACGGCGATACACCAATACGCTGCTCCGAGCGGACATGGCGGACACAAGCCGATAGTGCGCGCACCACTTGCTACACCACTTGCTGCACATGTCAACACCAGTCCCCGGAAGGAGTCTCCAGCAACACCTTGGCACAGCAAGCTTTGCAAAATTGGCCAGCGAGTTTGTTTTCAAATACTTGCTTCCAATTCCGTACAACTTGGTCGGCAACCTCTTGTGAAGCTGCAGGGGCTGGAATTTGCGACCTTGTGCGAGGGCGTAATACTTCCACGACACTAAAGCGCGCGATGCTTCGCAACATCTGAGGACCAGGCTGGGTACCGGCCTCCTCACGGTGGCGAGGTTGCAACAAGATTGCCGTGGGGAAGTCGGCCTCGAATTACTTCCAGAACCACCAAAATCCAGATCTTTTGCCACCACACCAACGCATGCAACGCGTCAAGGTCGTTGCGAGCAACTGCAACATCACCGGGTTTGTCACGCCAAATACAACAGCCTCAACACAGGTTGAAAAAACATCTGGATGGAAATGTACCATTGGATGGGAATTGCCGTCTTTGCGGGCCTTCGACGAGATCGCATTGCTTTGCACCTTGACATGCGAATGGGCTGACACTTTCACCGGTTGCTGGTTGCATCTGAAAGCCTCTGAGCCTTCCTGCAAGTATCACACCTCTCGGGTTTTGGCCAGCTGACGATAATGTTCGAAATCACCGTCGTAAATCGTGAAGTACGGGCCTGGCCGCTTCACAGAAACGATACTGGGGTCGTGCGCAATTTACCATATGCGAACGAGATACGGAAATCTCCACTGTAATCCACCGGAGCAATGAGGGAGGCCACCTGAAGTGTACAGTGCCCCAACCTGACTTGACCCAACCCATGATTTCAGAGTTGCTCTGCCACCTTGTCTAACTACACCGTACTGTATGTAAGTTGCGAGCAGCTAGGACTGCTTCAGCAACCTGTGGAAGGAAACAAAAACCAAAGCTTCGGTTGCTGAACTGCCCATCTGCCTGTGTGGGGTAATCCGGCGAGAAAATTAGCAAGGGTTCCCCGCACAGTGCAAGCCTGAGCTCAAACGCCCAAGCAACCACTGAATAGCAACAGTGCTTTGACAATGGTACGACTAACCTAAGCGACGCACTCCCAGAACTGCCACAGACAATCTGCGAATGGTGCAAAAGCCGTGTACGGTTTCCACGGCATTGGAGATCCTGTCTCAGTAAACACGGCTGTCGTGAGAGCGTCAGCAAGTTTCAAGCATGTCCTCGTGGGGCCCCTGAGGTCAAACCCAATGATTTGGCGACGAAGGTCAATTCCTGCATGACACGCACAAGTTTAAATTTTCAGTTCACCATTTACCTGTGCCATTCCAGTGGCCGGGAGTTGTTCTCTGCGCAAGGCAGGTACATCCAAAACATATTTATGAACAAAGCCAGCTGCTTCAGTGCAGCGGCCACCGGCTTGGCCCATCCGCCGGCCCCGCCACGATGACGAACGCTCCACCACCAGCGTGCCCAAGGGGCGCTGCCCCCCATATTTCGTGGACCCAGAGAAAAGGGACAGAGGCCTGCGCGGCGCTCCACTTTTACGCAGCCACGTGGCAGAAGCGTGTTGCCAAGGACAAGGAGAGATCCCTCCTCATACACACCAGCCATGACCAGGTCGACTCCATGCCATCCGCAAAACCTGTTCAAGGCGCACGCGCCCGCGTGTCCAAGGTGCACCTTCGGGGCCCGTTTATTTCTCACAGGCCGAAGTTTTCGAGGCCCCGGAAGCTTTTCGAAAAGGAACCCTTGGAGGCTTTTTGCGGCACAAAATGACCTTTTAGGGCAAGGCTTGCCACCCTACATGACCTCTTCCGGTTTCCGAGTTGCCACCCAGTATGACCTGTTTGGGTTCAGAGTGGTGCATAGGTTTTAGGCTGCGGCGTACGACCTTTTGACCTTCAGCCAACAGGACATTTCTTTTCATCACTCACTTTTTTGCATCCGCAGAGGATGGTTCAAGGGTTGTTTTTTTTTGCGCACCTCTTTTCCGTCTGCCATGCTGTCCGATGTAGCGTACTCCAGTCGGTGACACGACTACGGCCAACTGTACCCGGCAGACCTGCGTCAGGGCCGCAGCGGCAGGCGGCTCTGGCCGGCGGGACCAGCGAGGTGGAGCAAGGTGTCGAGCGGCGGGCCGTCGCTGGATTCGGACTGCAACGGAGCATGGAACCACAAGTGATGCTCCAAGCGATGGTACAAGTGCGAGATACGCGCGGGCTGTGCCAACATGCAAATGTCATCAAGACACGCCAGCAACTGCTCGTCCTCATGCAGCTCGGCGTGCAGCGCGGGGGATCAACGTGGGCGAATAAGGCAGGCATCAGAGGGTCGCCCTGTTCGCCCCCCCCGGCTGGGCAATACGGTGAGAGCAATCGCCGGCTTACCACACATAACAGGACTCGCGTGCATACCACAGACGGCAGGAAGGGAGAGCTGCAGATGCACCCGGGACACCGCGCAAGGACGCAAGCATGGCCTCGCGGCTGACAAGGTCACATGCTGCGGAAACAGGCTAGTGCTTCGCCACCAGCACGAGTGGAGAGAGGTGTGTGTTCTGGCATCTTTGAGGACGTCAGTCAGCTGCCACTACATGGGAGAGATGTATTAAGCTGGGTAAGAAGCTTGCTTTATGATTTGTTACGAAGGCGCACGCTGTGGAGTCCTCAGGAACTGTCGGAGTTGTGGGGTCACATGTAACAGATGCAGGGTACATGACCCTAGAAAGGGTTTATGGTTCGTATGAACTTGGCAGGAAGGACATATGTGCGTGACGATTTCTTTCGGGGTGGGGAATTGAGAATTTTGTTTGGTCCTTTGAGTGTGTGTCTGTGCGTGTCTCCTGTGTCGTCGTTTGTTCCTGTGCCCGGACACAATGGCAGAGTTTTTTTTTTTTTTGTAGGGGGGGCGTTTTCTGGGCACATGTGCCTTGGCTTAGAGCCACCCGTTTTTTTTTTCCACCTTGACTGAGGACACCCCTGAGCCTTGGGCCTTAGATGGGTTTACGAGGTGGGGGGATTGGTGGTTGGTTGTTTTTTTTTGTTTTTTGTTAAAGGGATTGTTGTGCAGATTCCTCTCGGAAGCACCTTCCAAAAATGTGCTCCTGAGCCTGAAATGGATTTAGGACGAGCGTGCAGGAATGCATGATGCATGCATGTGCCTTGGTTTGGGGCCGCTTTTTTTTTCGTTTTGTTTTTGCCACTGTGTGTGTGTGGGGTGTTGTTGTTGATGGAGGGTCTTGGTTGCTTCCGGTGGTGCTGCACGTGTGCGCCTTGACTAAGGACACTCCTGAGCCTTGGATGGTTTGGGATGCGCGAAGTTTGGTTGTTGGTGGTCGGTTGGTTTGTTGTCCTTTTTTTTTTCCGGGCCAATGCGTGGTCGCGTATCTGTGGTGTGTTTGTTGTTTTCGGGGCTTGGTTGTTTAACTGTACTTCACGCATGCGCCTTGACTAAGGACACCCGTGAATCTTGGCGGGGGTTGGGATGTGTTGGGTTTGTTTGTTGGTTGTCGGTTGGTCAGCTGTTCGATGTTTCGTAGCGTGCATGCGTGGTTTTGTGTCTTGGGTGGCTGTTTACTATACCGCACGCATGCGCCTTGACTAAGGACACTCCTGAATCTTGGAGGGGTTTGGGATGTGTTGGGTTTGATTTTGGTTGGCAGTTGGTCTGTTGTTCGACGTTTCGTCGTGTGCGTGCGTGGCTTTGGTGGCTGTTCGTCTTGGTTGTTTGCTGAGTTACTGCACGTATGCGCCGAGGCTAAGGACACTCCCGAGCCTTGGAAGGGTTTGGGATGTGTGGGGATTGGTTGCTGGTTGTCGGTTGGTCCGTTGGTTGCTGTTTCGTCGCGTGTATTGTGTGCAGACCTACTGCACGCATGCGCCTTGACTAAGGACACTATTGAGCCTTGGATGATATGTGGGAGTTGGATGCTTGTCGTCGGTGTTTCTGTGGTTCGCTGTTGCTTCGTGGGCGTGCGTGGTCGTGTGCTTGTGGTGCGTTGCTTTTTGCACGTCTGGATTGTTTACTGGGCTGCTGCACGCATGCGCCTTGACTAAGGACACTCCTGAGCCTTGGATGGGTCGAGGATGTGTGGGGATTGGACGTTGCTTGTTAGTTTTTGTTTTTTTGGTTTGCTGTTTTCGTGGTGTGCGTTCGTGGTTGTGTGTGGTGTGTGTTGTGTGAGATGTGCTACTGCACGCGTACACCTTGACTGAGGACACCCCTGAGCCTTAGATGGGTTTACGAGGTGGGGGGATTGGTGGTTGGTTGTTTTTTTTTGTTTTTTGTTAAAGGGATTGTTGTGCAGATTCCTCTCGGAAGCACCTTCCAAAAATGTGCTCCTGAGCCTGAAATGGATTTAGGACGAGCGTGCAGGAATGCATGATGCATGCATGTGCCTTGGTTTGGGGCCGCCCGTTTTTTTTTTCTTCTTTTTCCACCTTGACTGAGGACGCCCCTGAGCCTTGGGCCTTAGATGGGTTTAGGAGGTGGGGGGATTGGTGGTTGGTTTTTTTTTTTTTAAGGGATTGTTGTGCAGATTCCTCTCGGAAGCACCTTCCAAAAATGTGCTCCTGAGCCTGAAATGGGTGCAGGAATGCATGATGCATGCATGTGCCTTGGTTTGGGGCCGCCCGTTTCTTTTTTTTCCACCTTGACTGAGGACACCCCTGAGCCTTGGGCCTTAGATGGGTTTAGGAGGTGGGGGGATTGGTGGTTGGTTTTTTTTTTTAAGGGATTGTTGTGCAGATTCCTCTCGGAAGCACCTTCCAAAAATGTGCTCCTGAGCCTTGGATGGATGTAGGAGGCGCGTGCAGGAATGCATGTGCCTGTGAGTGTTCAGAGAATGTCTTGGGTATGGTTCTGCAATGACCGAAAAAGATCATGGAAGTTGCGCCTTAACCAAGCTTGCAGTGACTCATGACGACCAGCAAATTCATTTGAGGGCTTGCAGCTTGTTGAAAGATCATGAGCCGCGCTGCTTGTGACATTGAAGGCTCTTGGCCTGTTTCGGTAGTTTTTGGGCGTATTCGTGGGAAGGTAGGGTAGATCCATGGATCGCGAAGCCATCTGCAGAGTCAATGCTGCTGTTGAGTGCTTCTTACACCAACTTGAGATTGAGCATGTTGGCCGAGATCATTTCACACCGCAATCCTATGAGATTGACCCATGTCATCCCCACGAAGCTACTGCAGAAGATTCTTCTTCTTCACGTAGCAGATCCCGTTCACCTTTGCCGAGATTGAGGAACGCAACCTGTACTCAAGCGTCAAGTGTCGTGAATGTACTCCCCGATGCGATCCATGAGCTCCTAACGAAAAAGCTTGAGGACTTTAAGCAGGAAATCTTTGCGCATGTCAAGGTCACAATCCCCGAGGTTGTGGCTAGTCTCGTCAACGCTGAGCCTCGTGTAGAGCCAAGTGCAGTTGAAGAGACCTCGCAAAAGGTTTGGGACTCCGGCGCGAAAGAGTCGCTAGCCCATGACCTCCAGGTTTTGAAGACAGACTCGGCCATCTTGAAAGCGTTAGACAATGTCTGCTCAAAGCTTGCGGAGCTAGGAGGAAATCACCGTTCAAATATCACTGCCACGTTTCACCCAATGCCTCCCATTGTTTCAGCAGCAGCCCTCCATGCAAAAGTTGAGGCTGCTGGAATTAAGGTGTTAAAGAAAGGCGAGCCGAATGCGAGAATGCCTTATGGAGAGGTGGGTGGACAGAAAGGTCAGCCCAGTGTTTCGATTACTTTTTCGCCGTCAGTAAAGCTGACAGTGCAAGTTCACAGCCGCTTGGTCCAAGTGGTGCTGAAGGGGCGTAGGTCTTGCTTCACGCATGACATTTTGAGAAAGCTTTTGCCTTTCTTTGGGCCTGTTTCCACGCTTATGAGTCCCACCAGTGAAGCGTGAGGCTCGTTTCAACTTCTACTCGAGACCGCTTGCACCTAATTTGAATACTTAATTTGTCGATGTGGAACACCACATGAATGTACCATGGGACGCGGTATGTGAAATTGGCAGCGAGCCAACGTTCCTAGATCTGGTTCTTCAACCGCTAGACTTTGCCCGTGAAGTGGTGTTATTGAAGATTTGTGCCTTGCACTCATTTTTTCTCTCGCCTTCATGAGGTTTTTTACGCCCGGTTTTTTTTTTACCTTTCAGCCTTAATTGCAGCCATGGACGATTCGATACAACTGTGTACCCAAGAGCTTCGCCATATCTGGTCGGACTGGCTGGCCAGTGCGCCGAAAAGAATGGAGGTCAACGCTGCCCTCAAAGATAT